TGTACTCCAACCTTTACTTAAAAGAGCACTATCCAGATGCTATGATGCCAAATTAAACTAAGTCCCGATTATTTATGAGCAGAACTCAACATTGTGTTCCTGAGCTGCTAAATAGCGAATTAGTCACATGGATGGATTAATTGACTAACCTTTTCTCTCTTCCCTCAACTCCCAGTCTCAGAATTATTAATCAAAACTGTGAAACTGTGCTATAAGGAACATAGTCACTGAATGAGTTTCTCTGAAAGTGGCATTAAGATGATTAATTATCTGTCAGGGCCTTCATCGTCTCGTTCTGTAAACAGCTCACTGAAAATGTACATGGATTTTTCTTTGATGAGCACAAACTACCTGAGCTATGAAAGATGAAAAATCGTTTTTCATTTGTCTTCTTCTGAATGGCCCGCATTGAAATTTCACAGTTTGTCTTTTGGAGTGTTGTTAGCGTTTCAGGAAGGGAATGTCATCAGCTTTTCCCAATAGTTTCTGTAAGGGATCAGCAGCGTCGAGCCATCTATGTGCAATATGTATTCATATCCTCTGTTTACATTTTCTACAGATTTAATCACAAACTAGAGTTTTTTTATTTTTATTTTGGCAGACTCTGACTTTGGATGGTAGACTAATGTAAAGCAGCACATGACTGTGAAGTAGGATAAACAATATGCTTTTTCTATTTTGTTTTTACAGAGTAACTCAGAAATTTGAAAACTGAGGCATCTTTACTGAATGAGTACAACTCCAGCTCTGTAAATTGTAATTAGAAGTCATCTAATTGGAAAAACAAAGTCCCTCCATGAACCATTTTATCTGCACAATTGTCCAGTGAAGACTTCCAAGATTTGTTAGGAAACATTAATAAGCAAACAGCATCTTAAAGACCCTGACATAAGTTGGTATAGACAATGGATTGATGGATGGGTTGACATTTCACAAATCACAGTTAAATCCATTATCTGATAATTGAAAACCTGCAGCACCATTGCAAATTCACCAAGAGGTGACTGTACCCAAACTGACAAGCCAAGCACCCCACAATCATGTGCTACTTTGTTTTGGTCTGTGACACAAAGTCCCTGAAATTTGTGGCTGTCATGTCATAACTAGTTTTCCAAGGTTCTGTAAACATGCCCGAAGACTGCATGATCCGTTTCGGCGCTTTTTAAGAATAAGTGTTTTCTATTAACTTCTACAGCCATCTATTCTATGAGGATGACAGGTTTTACATCGTCAAGCGCATTCATAGCACCGGCAAGCTGTTGTCTTTAATTGCCACATGCTGTTGTCATGGGTCATAAAAATTTCATCTGATTCCTCAAGTGCCAACATCTGAATAATTATTTCACTGTGCCCTTCCTCCTATATGAGTATGTTCTAATTAGTGTTGAGGCTTTGACTAGACGCCTCGTTTAGGAAAGAAGCGTGAGGACTATGATCTAAATCTTAACAAAGGACTCTTAATCGGACTTGGAATTGACATTTTCATTTTGGAGTCCACAATAATCATGACCTAACACGTGGTACTTCGACATCAGACAAAACGTTTCATAATCAAGTTATCGGTTAATCAATCATAGTGACGGATAACTAACGTTTTTACTTCCGTATTACAAAGATTGCTTTTATTGCTGCTATATATGTGATTAATATGACTTATTCAAAGCTGTGTTGGCGTGGGAAAACATGTTCTGAGCAGGGATCGATGCCGTCTTGTGTAAAACAAACAGATGGGATGTCAGCTCGACCTACTTCTTCATCTGGACTTCTCAGAGTTGAAAAGAACTCGAGAGCGGAGAGGAATAACTGAGCGGCCTGGTGAGTATTGTATGTTTGAAAAGAAGAGCATAATTCTCTTTCTGCATTTCAGTCCCTATTTGTAAATTCTCTCCAGCCTTGAGGAGCCACAGATCGTCTCTTCCCATAATCTTTTGTCAGTGACAGAGTGCATGAAATAGGGATATAACATAGGCAACATTTAGCCAGGTGAAAACCTGGCTGAAGGATTGAATTAATCTGAAACCGTGTTTATTAAAACTCAAAAGGGAGAAGAGTTTTGTATAAAGAAATATTTAACAAGAACAGCATCAGAATGTAGCATTTGGACTAAACATTGCAAGGCCTCACATTACAAATGTGCTTCTTTTTTTTTTTTTTTTAAAGAAAGAAAATATTAGTTTTAGCCACATTTCAGTCAAAACATGACTTTTCTCTGCTTTGGGTCAGTGTTAGTCCATTTATGCACTTATTATCTTTTGCCCTGGGTCTTGTTTCTTTAGATTAATGTTTATAATATTGTCTGATTTTTTCCTTGTTTAGATCTGTGGTCTTCCATCCATTAGTCCTCTGTTCATTTTTCACCCTTCCTCAGGCTGCTTCTCAGCGCAGCTGTTACCAATCACCTCGTTCTCCTCTGCCTGCAATCTCCCTCAGCTGTTTCCACTTCACTCCGATTAACTCCTCTGGTTCCTCTGTCTATTTCCAGTCCTTCAACAACATATATATAACTCCCTGACTGGCTCCTCTATGAGTTTCTCTGTGGAGATGCTGTTGTTCTCTGCATAGTTTGTAGTGATTATCCAGCACCTTGACTGCTACTCATCCCATTGACGTCTTGTTATCGTGGGTAAATATTTTCCTTTAAAAAACAAAACAAAACTTAGTTTTCACCTGTTACCCTTTTCCTGGTTCTTGGCTGCATGTTTCTGCCATAAAATCACAATATGAAAATTACTATGTTGATGCTTTTCTTACCTCCACTGACACTTGGCAGAGTTGGATCGTAACAAACTACTGAAGAACTAAACACATTTTTCATAAGAGTTTACCATGTTTGGCACTGATTCTGATTGTTGTAAAACATTTGAATAGGTCAGATGTAAATATTTGAAATGTTTTTCTAATGATTTGTCAGAGCATTATTTTGTCTTTTAAGTTGAACACTAAAATATGCTGCAAGCTATGAAGGAAGGGACTAAACAGGATGGGGGGGATTAAATGGCAAAAGAAGGAAAAAAAAAAACCTTTTGCATCTGGTCAGAATAAATTATGTATAAACTTTGCCTGGGGAAAAGTACAGGTATAAAGTAGTGCACATGCCAGCTGCACCAAAAAGATTCTTAGACCTACAGCAATAATAATAATAATAATTAAAAATAATCATGGATAGGTGAACACCATGTCTGCCTATTGTTTTATGTATTAAACATTAAAGTTTTTTTTTCCTCTCAAAATGGCTGAAAACATAAAAGGTGTATCATTTTGCCTTTTGGAAGATATTTGCTTTGAAATTCAAACATTCAGTTTTTGATTCTGGTATAAATTTGAACATTACATTAGAATTTTTGGTGCAGCTGGACAAGCCCCAGTCAGTATCATGCGATATACCAGTGATTCGAACATGTGGGCTAGTTGAGGAGATGATGGGAAAAATCAAATAGAACTGGACCTTGTAACATGAAAGTGTCCCAAAATATTTGAAAAAAAGTCCACCCAGAAGTGGTGAAACTGAAAGATCTTGGTCTAGTCAAAGCCCAGATATCAAAGTAATTAAAATAGGTGACTTGAAGTGGGCTGCATATGTGGAAAGGAAACCCACAAACATAGATGCAATTGAAAGTAGGGCAAGCTTTCTTCAGACCAATGTTGGATTGGTGCATGGCTAAAAAAGGCATTCACTGAAATTATTTCAAGTGATAAGCAGAAACACTACCTTTTTTTCTCCTCAACTAAAAATAATTGTCCTCTGTTATAATTTGCTTTGTCCCCAGTTAGGTTAAACAATACCCTGAAGTATCAAAAGCTCTCCAAAAAAAGTGCGTATCTGTGTGGCTGAATATATACAGACATGTATTCTGTGCTGCTTGAGAATAGAAATCTGTTTGTAAATAGCCAGGAAACAAAATGTGCACACACTGCCCCAGGGTAGAAAGCTCATTTCCACAGAGAAACACGGTCAGCAGAGCCACAGCAACAGAATGACATGGATAGTTCAGCACCATGGACAGAGCTAATGCCTCTTCATTGCCCAGTTGTTCCAAAATAGAAAAGCATGGCTTAATATTCCGTGTTCCCCAAATAGTGGGGATGCATAGATATTAGACCAAGTCCGTGTTTCTCAAGCCCAGTTGTCAGGGAGCACTGGCCTGCACGTCTTAGGTGTCCCCCCTCTACCACGCAGGTGACTTGGATAAGCAGGTCATTAAACAGGCTTCTGCAGCACATGATGGCTGCAGAGGAGGTCAGGCAATAATTTAAACCAGGAGTTTTGGAGCAGATACTTGGATAAAATATGCAGGGCTGTGTCCAGGTGAAGTTATCACTTCACCGTCTTTTTGGACAAAAATATCCAAATCTAGTTTTCGTATGCTTTGGGAAATTTTATTGGGTGTTGCATCTCTACATACAATTCTGTTAGACTTCCACTATAAATCTTTAAATAGAAGATTTACCTATCCGAAATGTCCCTAGAACAGGAAAACAAACCCTTAAAACATACAGTAGTATTTTTTCTCTGAAAAAGTATACTTTATGTTAGAAATGAACAAACTTGGTATAGCCTACTTTTTGCCCCCACCTGGGTAAATATTGTTTAACACATAAAAAAAAAAAAAACCGGCAGGTGTTACAGAGCTGCACAGGGAATCAAATCCCAGCTGCCCGTGCACAGGAACAATCCTCATCCCGAGGATCAGCAGTTCCAACTAGGAGCTATAATATAAATACAAATATAGCTGATCTCTTTCATGTGACAGCGCGACATGCTGATCCCTTTTATAAAAACACACGCACACACAAAACTTATACATTTACCCAGCGCGCTCTGTGCTTTTGGACCTCTGTCTATCTGTTGTAACATAAAAGCCCAGTAAATCACCCTTTGGTTGTCAAGTCGTTGAGTCTGCCCCGCAAAAAGCCTATGCAGCCTTTTCCACCGTGCATCTCCCCCCCTCCTTCCCTCGTTTCCTCTCCTCCTCCTCCTCCTCCACCTCCTCTTCCTCCTCCTCCTCCACGTTCAGTGCTCCCTCTTGCGCGCACGGCGAGCAGCGGCGGCGGCAGCAGCGCTTCTCTGACGCACTATCGGAGATGAGCATCCCAGTCCCGCAGGCTGTCAGGACAAACTCTCCCGACCTCTCTCTTTTTCGGACTTGTGCAATCAGCCTTTTCAACTTCAGCGCTGTTCCGTGTTTATTTTTTTATTTTTGTTGTTTTTGTCGCATTACTGTCTTACCTCGATTTCACAGCTTTTCCCCCACACACACACACACACACACGCACGCACACACACTGACTCCGCGTTTGGCAGTGATGCACACATTTGACATCTCTTGGCTGGGGATTTACTCCGGAGGAAAGAACTGTCAGCAAAAGTAATTGATTTCCATCTACATCTATGGGCTTGTTTCTCCTCCGTGTTTGTCGGGCGTCGTTCAGAACATCTTGTGATAAGTGCTTCAGATTAAAGCTTGAGGAGCTGTTGTGAAATACACAAAATCGTTCAGATGACGGACACCGGGAAGCTGTAAATCTCCCTCCGCGACGCGACTCTGAGCCCTTGGAATATTCTCACGGAGGTGTTTGGTACAAAAAGCAGCAATCTTGCTTCCAGTTTGCCCGTACTGCGGGGTGGCTGCTGCGCATGTTCTGCTTTAAATGAGGATTTTTTTTCCATTCAGAGGTGGGCATCTGAGCGTTCCGAATTTGTGATGCCCGGGCAGTGAGGTCTACGGCAGGATTTCATTCTGGTCTACCCCCCCTCCCTCCTCCTACCTCCCTACTCCCTCTGTCCCCTCCCGCCCTGCACGGCAGCATGGCTCCAACCCGGAGGGACTGCAGCGGCTGGGAGATGTGCCTCCCAGCGGGACGCCTGCTCCTCTTCGCGTTGCTGTTTCACCCCGGCGTGGCAAAGGTGTGCAACGACCGCACCAAACACGAACAGGACAACAGCTGGTTCCTCAAGAGGGAGGAAGCGTTGAACATCATGGTGCTGATGCCAATGAACGAGTCGGCCCTGATGAGCAGCATCAGCCAGGGAATCGAACCAGCGGTTCAGCTGGCCATCGAGCACATCAACGACTCCGGAGAGTACCCGTTTTCACTCATCACCAAAATCTATGACACTGAGGTAAGCGGGCGTGCGAGTGCACGTGTCGCCCGGTGCGTGCACGCGCGTGTGTGAGCGCACACCCTTGCAGCGCTGTGCGGTGTGTGCGTGTGTGCGTGTCCAAACGGCGGACGCGCTGCTTCTTGTTGTGTTTGGAGTCGGTGGCTTCCTGGTTTTGGTGCCTGTGTTCCCATTGCACCAAAGTGATTGACAGTACAGTATAGGGTTATAATGCCATCGCTGATGTCACCATCAGCCACTGCATCATCCTGTCACTCTTGAGTCGCATGCTGTAAGGTACACATTTCTTTAGTTGCCACAATCTAAGGATGTCATTCACCAAACTGGCTTTCAGTCAAACGCTGACTCTCTCTATATATCTTTTTTTTTCTTCTTTTTGCAAACGTCACTTTCTACGCTGCTTTTTCAGTCACGAATCAGTGCATCTTCCTGGAGATTAAAGAGACGCTTCTTATCGCGCCTGAAGATGGCGGTAATCGGATGCGCGATGCGTCCCTCTTTAAACGGAGGCAAATCTCACTGCACATTAGAGCCACCGTGGACTACCCTCTTCCCCCAACACAAGATGAATTTTGAATTTTACTCTAAAGTGTTGTTAACGTGTCATACTGAATTCCTCAAAGTGTCAGCTCAGTGGAATGTGTGAAAAAAAAGTTAATATAAATGTTTTTATTGCAGTTTGCACAGTTGTGTCATTCAGACATGGTGTGTAATTTCCAACACAGTGAGATCCATTTCATAGTTATTAGCGGTTTTACATTTTCAAAGTGTTTGTTTCTCTAAACTATGCTTAGTTCTTTCCATCAGGTCCTCCCTCCACCTGTTGTTTATGTTCCCTATGTTTTTCCCCCCACTCCACTATCCTTGCACTTTGTTCCTCAAAACTAATTGTCTCAACTTCTATTTAGACACATTAAGAAAACAAAAATAAGAAAGCAAAAATTCTGATAAAAAAATTACTAGGGTGATATTAATTGACATCATTGCAGCAGACAACACCTGGTAACCTCTGTTGTAGAGCTTAGTGGTTCTCTGCATTTCATTTTGTTACTTTCCAACAGTTAATCGGAATTTCTATAATCTGTTTTTTCTTTAAATGCCATCCAAAATTATGTGAAACAGTCTGTTCTATACAGCCTATGGTAAATTGGGACAACATGAAAATGTACTATCCAAAAAAATGTACATAATTTTTAAACAAGCCATGTTTAAGATGCACCGATACAGCAAATATTTTCTATGTGCACTATACCTGTGCAGATGTCATGACCGTATATTTAAACCCATCGGAAGCACATGTGATTTTGCTTGTCAAACAAACATTTATATGGAATTATTTGCATCATTAAACTGTCTTAAACACAGAATTTTGTGGATTATTTCAAATTTTTTGCAACAGTATTAGAAGACATCAGAACAACTTTAAAGTTTCTTTTTTTTTTTCAAGGATTCTGGCCTTGAGTGATCACCATTTATATTGGAAGCAAATTAAATGACAGCATTTAAGACAAAGTTAACATTATTAAAATGGCATACTTGACAAAAATACAATATGTCCCATGACACATGTCTTTGAAATCTCAAAAGTAGGCAAATAAACACTGATGTACTTCAATTAGTCCACTTTATACAGTGAAACATTTGTTTACAGATTAAACCAGCCTGACTATGCCAGGGGAGTCCAGCTCATGTCCTCAAGGTCCAGTGTCCTGCTGGTTTTAGACACGTTTCTGCTCCAAATCAGCTGATTGAAATGGTCAAACTAACTCCTAAGCATGTCGGTTATGCAGAGGCCTGCTAATGATCCATCACTTGCTTCAGGTGTGTTGATCCAGAGAAGTAAAACATGCAGAATACCGGCCCTCGAGGTCTGACTTTTGACACTACTGAAATAAGCTAACCAATGTGCTGTCTCAGCTTTGCATAAGATTGCAGATCAATCACAGATACAACCAGTGTCATCAATAAGTTGGTAGTGACTGTTTTTGCTTTTTCTGGCAAACATACCCTTGTATGCACACAGGTGTGCTTGTTGTGTGAAACAGACATATAAAGCTCTGTTGACCAGGGTAAGCCCTCAGAGGCGGCATGCTTAGAAACCAAAGGATTAATATGTTAAGTGAGGTATGATTTTCCTTCTCCAATCCTCTGGAGAGAAAGATGAGCTGGAAGCAAGAGGTTAGTGGGCCACCCTCACATCCGCTTGCTGGGAATGGCAGTGTTCTCTCATACTGCCAATCAGGGACAACTTATGAGATTGTAGTCCTTTGTTATGTATAATGTTACGGTGAAAGGGTGCACACTGTTGCAGTGTTTAAGTTAGACGGCTGATCAAGTTTTTGAGCAACACTGATGTAAAAAAATAAATATTAGCCACCAAACCTAATCTGATTTTAGAAGTTGTGCTTTTAACGATTTGCCATCTATGTTTTCAATAAATATTTCAATAAATCTTTGACTTAAACTTAAGTGTTGTTAAACCATTTGCTTACACACACACGTGTGCATACACACACACACACATACATATTTTTCTGCATACCACATGCTTATGTCAGAAAACAATACATGCATGAGTGCATTTGTTGCTGCTAGCAGCAGGCCGAGTGTGTGCCCATGTGATGTTTGTACATGTATGAGTGTCTACGATGTGGGCACTGGGATTTAGCTTGGCAGATGTAAGTAATCAGTCCCTGAGCAGAGGATTTTTATCCCTTTTATCCCCTGTCAGTGGAGCCACTGGTAGACTGAGCAGGTCCAGTCCATTTCCCCTGGTGGTGTGGAATTGGGTGGTGGTGCTAGTGATGCTGATAGAGAGGCACTCTGGGGTTGTTCGGTAGTGAAAGGCCTGAGAGCAGAAGGTTAGTTAGAGCAAGAAGGAGGCTGAAAGTACCGCAGAGGAAAATGGGCTGTCGATAAGCATCTCGGAGATAGTGTCAAACTGTTGTGATCAGCCTATGTGTCGTTCCTCAGATGTTTCAGTGATTTAGGCATTTTAGACTCAAAGCTCGACTGATAATGCATCTTTTGGTTTAAAATCAGGCTGTTTTTTGGGGGAAGACAAGAAGCAAGAAGGATTATATCAACTGAGAGGCTTAGCAATGAGGCACATGTTGGTCCTGTGTTGCAACTCTAGATGAGTGAGCTTGGGTTTTAGTGTAACCAAGGACTGATACTGAAGCTCTGTGGGCTTAGAGGATCAAAGCTTTGGAGGGACAGGAAGCACTGGAAGAAGATGGAAGAGAGACTTTGGGTGTTCAGTAGGTGCTAGGCTAGTTCACCAGCTTATGGGATGAGTAGTAGGACTTTGATATTGCTCTGTCAGTGGGACAAAAAATAACCTTATGAGGAAAGAGATAAAGTGCTCACAAACGGTTCCATATGTTATCATGTCGTAACTTTTTCTTGGAATCGATATTAAATAACTACACACAGTGGTGAAGTAGATGGAAAACCAAATATAGTTTTCATAACATTTTTTTTCCATTTGCATTGTGAAAAATCTGACATACTAATTTAATCGCCTGCAGATTGACTGCTCTAAATATGCCCTAAATATGGAACAAACTGCTTCCAGAAACAGAGTTAAACGATGTGTAATTTGATCAGGTATCAGAAATGCACAGATTAATCAGAGAAGCATCCAAAAATGCCCATGGTAACAACTGAAGGCGCATCAGAGAATCCCACCTCAGGTGTGAGAATATGTCTCCAGAAAAACTATCAATCATGTGCTCCATATTAAAAAAAAATGATGGAAGACAAAGCAATTAAAAAAGCCAAAGAAAAGCACAATAGCTCCTGTTCAAAGTTTGCAGTAAGCTAAGTAGTGGGACACAACAAATGCAGAAGACGGTGTTTCATCAGATGAGCCAAGAATGAGCTTTTAAGTACAGGTACATGGTTCAGATATGTACTTAAATGTACCAACCCCAGACCTCGATCCCACTAAGAATTTGTGGAAACACCTAAAAATTGCTGTTCAGATTATCTCCATTCTATCTGAATGTAATTTTAGAAAGAAGTTTGAGTCTCTGGTCTCTAGATTTGCAAATACAGATGTACTCCCAGTGACGTACATCTGTAAAAGTCTTTATCACTGAATAATAAAGATCAGAAGAATGATTTCTATCATTCTTCTGATTTTTATTTGTGAGACGTCTTAAAACACAAATCTTTTTCCTTCAAATTCACAAGTAAGCACTTCTTTCTGTTGGCGCGTCCATTAAAATCCCAGTAAGATGCTTAAAAATGATGGAATATGAAAAAGTTTATGGCAAAATAACTGCTATTCATTGGAAGAAATCTTATACTCAGCCACAAAATCCTATCATGCAAGTTTCCTCTCATTGACATTAAAGGTTTTAACTTCAACTATTAAATAGACTTTGTAGATTGTGAAACTCTGTGACTAAAAGAAATTGTTATATTTCATTATAATGTTATAAAACTAAGACACAAAGTGGGTTTAAAAATGTTGAGATGGATTTGATAGGCCCATAAGACTAATTGTCTCCTTGAGGCTTTTGATAAAAAAAAAAGAAAAGTCATTTTAATTAAATGATTTGAGCTAAAAGCCAAATCAAAGTAAAAGCAAACACTCAAAGGTTTGCTTGATTATAAAAGCAGGAGAAAAAAAATTGTTCATGATTGGATCGATCTGAATTTTTCTTTTCCTCATTCATTTTGCAATAATGAAGTGAATAACAACAGTAACATTGTGGTCCCTTTGCAGTTAAATACATTTTTTACTATTTCAAACATACCTTTTTTTAGACAATTTGGAACAATCATCACATGCTAAATTTGAGATTTTCTCCTCATTTGAGCAGCTTCATGACATTTAAATTAAAAAAAGGGATTTTCACAGTCATCCAATTACCTTTTACATTCCACGTTTGATTATAATCTCGTCTGAGACAACAAGAAAATCAATGTAATCTCAAAATTTCACTCCCGTGAGCACTTTAACAGTGCATTTCCATTTTTGTAGAAGGGCT